GGCCGGCGCGACTGTGGTTGCCAACGGCCTTTCGCGGCCATCCGGATGCCGCGACCGAGGCACAGGCATGTCGGACAATGCCCACTTGATTAAAGTGGTCCGGGGGATGCCCACTTACCTAGTTTAACGTCTTACGGTCTATGGTGATAACGTAAAGTCTGACTCTTGCCAGCGAGTAAGCATCCTGAACAGCATCATCATGCAGGGCCTAAAGGGTTCGAGGCGGTCTTCTCGGACACGCCATGGACACCGATCAGAGACATGAATAGGCGCAAACTTGTATGAACACAAAGAAAGTCGAGAATAGCTTCATGTTATCGTTGCGCACTGGCTTTGATATTAATCATTGCAGCAAAGCAAAACCTATCACCTCACACCATCAAAGTTGACGATCAGCAAAATTGCCTTTTGGTACGCTATCTTTCGAAGCGGAATCGGTCCCCATTTTTTCACCCCCATACCCGAAACCACCAGACCCATACAGCTTCGCGGTTGATATGATGCTGGGCTTTACCTACCGCGTCGCCGCATCTCAAGTTCGCCATCTGGTCCCAAACGTGCTAGAGCTCGAGGATGAGCCTCTCATGTCAACCACAGTGCTCGACTACGGAATGAGCCCTGTGGGGGCGTACAAGGAGTTTGTCCACCTAGTCGAGGTGACCTATAAGAATGAGAAGTTCATGGACAGTCTCATCTTGATTCTCGACAACGAGGCAGCCATATTCGCAGGACGTGAACAGTACGGCTTTCCCAAAGTCTTTGGCAAGGCCGGTATTCAGACGGCAAATGGTACTCGGCTGGTTTTGGCAAATGCGCAGAGGCCGGCAGGACGAAGTCTTTTCGAATGCGAATTCATCCCGGATCATCGCATTCCCAGTTTGCCTGCTGCGGATAAATGGGGGCTCAATCTTCGTAGTATTCCACAGCCGTGTGCGGGAACATCACAAGCGATCCAAGAGCTGATTCCTACGATCATGGACTGGAAATTTAGCGAAATCTGGGCTGGACATGGTCAGATTACATTTCCACGCCGCTCTGCATTTGATCCTTGGTGCGGTTTGGATATTCTACGATACGAAGGAAGCTTCCTTGCACGGGGTCTGACTGGCGAGCTTCGGTGTCTTGGTGAGAGCTTCAAAGTTTAGAAGTTCAAAGGATCAGGCTAGGGCCAAGTAATTGAGTTCTTGAAGTATATTTCGACTATTACGTGAAGGCCTCAGGTCGCACGAGACTTCTCCTTGGAGCATTAGTATCAGTCTTAGCATCTGAAGTTCACATCTCGCATATTCGCGCTCGCCCGTATTTGGTAGATCCTATCGTGATGAGAGTGGGCCCAACTGTGAAGGTCTACAACGTCTCCGAATAAATAGATCGAAACGAAAGAATCGTATGGAAGAGAAAGCCGATGTCGGTCGACAAAGCGATTGCTTCGAGCGAGATGCTACGATAGCTATGACCCATAACGGAGGAGTCGGTGACTAAGTGGGTTCGTGAATGATTGACTGTGTGATGGAGTTGAACTAGAATCTCGTCTTCCGATTACTCCAAAGACCTTCTCATTCATGACCAAAGTTTAATTTTTATGGTCGCTTCGTATGGCTACATGGAGGCAAGATTTTCTGTACCGTTCAGTCTCGACACTTGCGCAGTCATCGACCATGTCAGACCATGCAGAACTGTGGATATTATTCTTGAGTTCCATTAAGTCAGCCGGAGCGGGGGGTGAGATTAGGTGTGGTCCTTGCGGGCTGTCAGGCCCATCACGATCGGATACAACGCCAGAGAAATTGCGATCACATATGATCAAGGATCTCCGTCTTGTAAAGTTCCCAGCATGTATCGATAAGGGAACATCGTTTGAATTTCGGACCCAGAAAGTAACCAGGGCTCTGAAAAGTGGACGTAATCCGAGCCTCTAGGTATTGGTCGCATCTGCGGTTTAAGGTCCGCAGGGTTGATCCAACACACTTCGTGAACAACAACTTCCTTCGCGCAAGGATTACTTCCGGCCTCGCCACACTGGCGCATTTCTATACCGGGTGTGATGCTTCTTCAGTTTTCTTACCAAGCCACACAGCATTTGTCCCTCGACCAATGAAACTACCTGGTCTCGGACCACATTTCCGAATGGGTAAAAAGATGCAGAAGCGAACGAAGTGAAGAATCCTTCTTGTATCCATTAGCCGGCATGGGGTTACAGTCAGGAACATTATGGCGTTTGAAGAGCCGAGATTTCCAACAGCTCAAGAGGCACGCTTTGCGGGACATCCTCCTGCTGTAATGAGCGAGGGCAAGAGAGGCAACTAAATATACATTTGTGCCAACATGCAAATCATTGGCATGATAATCAGAAGAGACAGATCACCATGTATAAAATTGCTGTTTATGGAGAGCTAGAGTACATGACTGTAGTTACAGTGGTCTTCTTGATACCCCGCCCATCGGTCAAGCTGTCCCGCAGCTCGACCTTGTCCTCACTCGTATCACTGTCATCGCCCCCGGTCCCAGCCGCGACGGTCGTGGTTCCCACAGGTCGAGTGGCGTATGTCTCCAACTCGTAGTCGTTCCCTGTTCTATCCATGTGGTTCCTGGGAAACTTTTCGCCTCTCTCCTCGCCCGGCTTGACTGGCCATTGGGTGTTTGACAGAGTCTGCCAGTTACTACCGCTACGCAGCGTACCACGGCCGTAGTATGCTCCTGCTGTGGGCGCCTTAGATCCCTTCCCGTAGATGCTACCCAGGAAGTCCTTGAAGAGGGGTCGTAGAGTTGGCAAACTTCCAGCTATGATTCCGACATTAGCCTCGATGACGGTCCACATCTGAATATCTCGCGAGTCCCAGGTTGGATCGAAGGCCCTCCCATAACTTGTGACGATGTAGTAGACTTTAGCGCAAGCTGCTGCACATGCAAAGACCCCCAGACCGAGGACCATCATGAGAGAAATTCGAACCCTTCGCGGGACGTTGAGCCCCCAAAGCATGGGCGCCGGAATAGCGATTCCAAAGAGAAGGTCGGTGAGGATATTTATCGACGAATTTGCATAGGAGAGGCCCTTGATCGTATCAACATCCCAGCAGGCTGCCTTGACGTTGAAGTCCCAGAATGCACGTACATCAGTGCACTGGAAAATAATGGTCTATGACGAATACGTTTTGTTAGCAATAGAACCTTTGACCGTCCGCTGAAGGTACACGATCGTTACTAACGAAAACACAGGCAATCGTGTAAGCGGTCATGAAGATCATGACCCCAGTGATGAGGTTCTTGTAAAGCTTTTTGGAGGCGATTCGATGTAGTGACGACCCAACGGCAAGCTTGACTAAACAGATAGCAGCCAGGAAAAGGGGCTGAGAGACGAAGGCCATTTGCATCGCTATCGGGTAGTCTTTGACGAAGTCAATGTCCCCTACGTGGCGACCAACTCCGTGAATGACCTGCACGATCAGGACTCCTTGACCAGCAATTGCGATGACCATCGCGGATGTCATGAACCCGTCCTTTGAGATCATTGTCAGCATATCAGGGCTAATGCCTACTTTCTATAGGAAGAGATATCACGTAAGCCCAAAAATTGCAAACTTACATCGAATCCGAAGCTGTGAATCATGCCAAGGCGCACCCAAAGGCGAGCTGCCACGACAATCAATGCCACAGAAGTGACTGTTAGTGTTGCGGCCAACACCGTGGGTCCCTCATTCTCCTCCGGGTTCGAGACGAACTCCATTCTCTGATGAAAGATGATGAATTGAAATTTGGCATCAGATGACTGAGAAAGATGTAAAGATTCGGCTTGGTTTGGAGAGGAGAGCGTTGATAAAATCAGCCACTCTAGGCGCGCCGCGTCTTCCGTGCTCCGGCCACACACCATATAGTGATAGAAGGCACGAGTCTGTTCATCGAAATATCAAAAATAGGCTGACAGCAGGCTCTCAGTGCCTTCTTGGCATTCCGCCTCCAGCCTCAGACTGGAATCCAGACTCTGGCTCTTTGAAATGAAGCTGCAAGGGTTCACAAATCCTCATCGGCCCATCTCTTCGCAGCAGTTGCCTTTTCAGTCAGGTCTATGGCATCGACTGTTTCTGCGATAGAAAGTACGAATACAAAAAGTCCTTCGCCCGGGCTTTCACTCATGTCACTTCTGCATCGGAGCGTCTGCGCCGCACCCTTTTCTTCAGATGGTTGGTGGCTTTACAACTTGGCGAAATGTAGGAAAACGCTGTGAGCTGGGATTAATAACCGGGGTTTGAAATTCTGCAGGATGGTATGACGGTGCCCCTGGCTGTGAGTGGGTTGTTGGGACTAGAATATGCATAAAGTCAGAATCTTTTCGACTCCACGGCCCTTCTCCGCCTGTTGTGGGATCAGCGCAAGCCTTCAGTCTTCGTTGCTAGAGCCGAGGGATAAATCTGCACAGCATCGGGTTCAACGCTACATCAGGTAAAGAGTCTTACATGGGAATTTAAAACCAACACACCAACTGGCCCGGACCGTGGGCCGTTTCTGCAACCCCGGCTTCAACCTGCATGATGAAGTCGGGTAATCCGCCGTCTTTCCCGCTGTTCCGGCCTTGCAAGCCAAGATTCGCCAAACGGCCGACGGGTTTTCTCCCCTGTAGAGTGGTTAATTGCATTTTGGACCAACATGTTGCTCGCGACTGAGAGATATTTCGCAGAACTCTTATTTGGGAGGTGTTTACTTGGGCCGCGTTGGTGGCGATGCAAATTGGATCTTTTTACGCGACATGATCCACCATATGATCCCTGGATATCACGTACGGAGAGAGCACCAACAACGAAGTGGCAGGGCCTTGGTCGACTCCTTATCTTGTCACTGATGTTCAGTCTCTTCTGACCGGATGTAGGTCGGCGGAAGGGTTATATATCTGCCACACGGCTGGCGCTTCTCCTGCAGAAGTTCTCTCCCGCACTCAGAAAGTACTCAAGCTCTGTGACACTTGCTCTTGCGGCCTTGTTTCCTTGTCCCACACAGCCGACCTCATCATGCACATTCTCTCACTTGGCGTTTTCGCCCTTCAGGCGGCTTCCACTGTTCTCGGCAACCCACTCCCTCAGACCGATGACGGGGCCGCTGCTGCTGCCGAGAATGTCGATCAGCTCACGGCTCTCGCTCAGGCTGCATACCAGAAGTCGGAAGAGATGATCCAAAGTGGAGAGATCCAGAAGCGTGGAAGCTCCTGCTCTCTTGGAAACATCAAAATCCGCAAAGAATGGTAAGCTTTGTCCTGTTCAAGCTCGTCTTGTAATCTGAACTGCATTTGACATGAGTCTAGGGGTTCGTTGCAAAGACAAGAAAAGCTCGACTACATCAAAGCCGTGCAATGCCTTCAGTCAAAGCCTGCCCTGACCCCTTCCGACATTGTTCCTGGTGCTAAGAGTCGGTTCGATGACTTCGTTGCCACACACATTAACCAGACTTTCACCATCCACTACACCGGCACGTTTCTGTCCTGGCACAGACGTTTCACTTGGTTGTACGAGGAGGCGCTTAGAGAAGAATGTGGCTACAAGGGCACCCAGCCCGTAAGTTGCCTGTACAAACTCATGATAGCCATCGGCTAATCAGCATGACAGTATTGGGACTGGGCAAAGACCGCCGTAAATGGTGTCGATAGCTCTCCCATTTTTGATGGCACCGAGACATCAATGTCTGGCAATGGAGAGTTCATCCCTGACCAGGAAGACATCATCCTTACCAACCCTGACGGATCGGAAGCCGCTCGCCTTCCAACCGGAACTGGAGGTGGCTGCATTACATCCGGTCCTTTCAAGAATATGTCTGTGAACCTTGGCCCTTTGGCTCTCTCTCTTCCGGGCGGAGGCAGTGAAACAAACCCAGACGGATTCTTTGCCTATAAGTCAAACCCCCCACTTCCTGGCACCCCCCTGTTTCTGGCACCCACAAAAACGATGGGATCACAACCCAACCTCCTCATTACTATTAACTATTGATCCTCAACCACACCCACTACAATACAACTGCCAGCCTCACTAGGGCATTCAGAGTCGCTGGATTCAGCCGTAATAACCTCCTTTTCACCCGCTTCGATTTGAGCCCGATGGATATCCCTGATGTTCGCAAACTTCGTGTTGGGATCGATCTGAACAGTCCTCTTCCTAACTGCAGCGTTGGTAACTTGAGCCCTCAGGTGAGCCAGCTGCTGCTGGGCAGCTGCCAGTTGCCAGGCCTGCTCTGTGAAGCCTTTTTCACCTTCCTGAACAGCAGCCGTTGAGTGCTGGTATCATTGTCGAGTTGGGTGTAAGTGCAGTTGACCGCTGAGCTCTGCCAGCTTCCTGGGTGTCGACCAGACCACTGCAGAGGAAGCAGAATCCATGGCTCAACAGGGGTAGTTTGTTGACCATTATGGCATCGCTTTTTGCCCCGACTGGTTGGTTTGGGTGTGGTGGGCTTAGCAGAAGGCTCAGGTAATACCATAGGGTTCATCAGGGCTTAACCATCGCTACAGGGTGTAGACCAGTCCACTTCCAACCACTTCTGATGTTCGAGACTGATAGACCAGCAAGTCGAGCCTTCTGGTAACAGTCCAGGAAGTTCCTTTACCTATAATGGTAGAGTCGTTCCATTGAGACAAGTAACCGAGCTCCTTCCGATAGGCTGACTTAACAGGGCTGAAGACAGACTGGTCAAGTGGCTGGAGGACATGAGAGGAGTGGTAAGAACAGTAAATGGATATTGTTAATATAGCAATTCCACATGAAGTCTGTCGTCGTATGACTCCCATGCCCATCCACAATCAACAGTCGAGCCTCGCCCTCAGCCTCGGGCATAGTCTGTGGGATAAACACCTTCTCTAACCATTCAATGGCAGTTAAGTCTGTAGTCCAGCCATTATCTGTTGCTGTAAACTCCCACCCATCGTATGGAACCAGATGTAATGGAAACCACTGTTGTTGGACCGTCTTCCTTGAAAATGATAAGAGGACGAAGTGCCCTACCCAAGGCTGAGATACACTCAATGATAGAGACCCATGCCCTCGACCCAGGTTGTTTCTTGCGAACAGACGTCGTCTCAGCCATGCCCAGCACTAACCCATTAGCTCCTGACCCTCGAGGATGCCAGTCTCATCCATATTATATCTGTTGGCTGGTTTGATGTCCTTGATCTCAGGGATAGCAAGGAACTTAAACCAGTTCCTAATGACCTCAGTAGATGCCCCATTAACGCGTCTAGAATCGATGGAACGACTTCTCTGAACCTTAATGATAGGGTTCCTTCTCACGAAGGCATAGATCCAGCCTTTTCCTAATGGTTTGGTATCCAGCAGCAGCCAGAACTCGCTCTGCGAATTCCTTCACCTGTTGGTGCGTTGGTGCGAGGCCCAGCGAAGCCTGAATGCGAACCCATTGTGCCAGCTTACTCTCCTGGTCAGGAGACAGCCTCTGCCAGTCAGCAAAAGCCACTTTCCTAGTCTGACCACCTTGGAGACGTAGTTGGAGGGTTGATCGTGGTATCCCATACTCCAATGAGGCTCTCGTTTGAGATGTCCTCGAGAGCCTGACGAAGCTGATCTTCGGTATATTGAGGCATTAGATATAGAAGAAGGTATGTGCAAAAAATGAGCCCATTTGGACTCGAATTGAAAATGTTGTGATAAAAGGAGGTTGGGGGTGGGCATTGCGTTGTGGTGGATTTTCGCGTTTTTGTGGGTGCCAGAAACAGGGGGGTGCCGGGAAGTGGGGGGTTTGACTTAACCCCCGCTGCCTGAAGCGCGACTTGACTACGGCTATCAACCGAAGGTACTCGAACGCTTCCGCAATCCTGCACAACATCCTGGTTCCTCAGAACGTAGGCAAGTTCCAAGTTGAGATGCAGGGAGATCCCGAGTCGGGTACCATGGGCATGGGCATCCACGGAGGTGGTCATTTCGTGAGTGGCTCCGTTCCTTCTGTATTATTCGCGTCACAACACGAAGCTAATGTTCATCAGACTCTTGGAGGTGACCCTGGAAGAGACTTTTTCGTATCGCCCGGTGATCCCGCTTTCTACCTGCATCATGCGCAGATTGATCGCGTCTGGTGGATGTGGCAGATGCTGTCACCCAACGCTCGTCAGTTCGCCGATGATGCCGTCATGGGAACTAACACATTTTTGAACTCGCCTCCAAGTGCCAACACAACTCTTGACGAAGTTCTCGAGTATGGATACGCTGCCGGTCCTCCTATCAAGATTCGTGACACGATGAGCACTCTTGCTGGCCCTTACTGCTACATCTACTTGTGAAGAACTCTGCTTTACTCTGCCTACTACTTCCATGTAAGGCAAGACACTCTGCAAATAGGAATGGAAAGTCAACAACTAGATAGTTGTTACCTCATAGATCTGTATTTAAAGTAGTTTTTAATATAAAAAGACACAAAGAAACCCATAGATAGACCAAGGGCTTTCAATTGGCTCGCAAGGCTAGCATCAGTCGTGAAGCAATTTCCCATTGCTTGAGCGATAGTATGAGGCCATATAGATGTGATTTTACAGTGCCTCGCTGTCTCTGTGCTTGCGATGTATGACTTCGCTATGTCTCAACATCCGGTAAAAGAAATGAGCCAACTCTATCTCGAGTTAGTATTGCCCTTTCTAGAACTTGATATAGATCAAACATTGCCATACGTACCCGATTAATGCATAACATGCACACATGAGTGTTCCTTTGATACCCGGCATCTTCAGATTGCTCCGCCCATCGCTCAGCAGAAGTCGTGTGGAAAGTGCGGCTGCGCCCAAGAGGGCAGCCGCTTCAAACAAGCTGAAATCAAAAGCTGCATCTCGGTGCATGATCCAGCCTGCTAAGATAGTTATGGGCGCTGCGCAAAGCGCAATCTGTATGGCTGACCCAGCTGCAACCGCGATGGCGAGATCTAGTTTCTGTTTCGACGCCATCGTCACGACAGTGACATACTCTGCCACGTTACCAATGACCGGCAGAATTATCAAGCCGATAAAAGACTCTGACAGATGGCCTTGATGAGTTATGTCATCAATCGTTCCGACGAGGAACTCGGTACACATCGACATCAAGGCCGAGCTTATGATTAAGGTGATGACGGAAATCGCTTTTTGTCCCAAGGATCTCCGGGAGCTCTTTTCTCGATCTCGAAGAGTTACGACTTTCATACGGCTGGTCTGGAAGATGCGCAACCTATCTGAGCAAGACCTTCGATGAGCGCCGGTACTATCAAAGCGGGTAGGATCCGCAGTCGAAGAACAAAGCGACTGACGGCTCAACGACTCTAGGCTATCACAAGAGCTCTCGCGGCTGTCTCTTTGTTCGATCTTGTTTTCTTCTCTTCCGCGCTCTTCTTCGCTTTCCTCGCGTAAAGATGCGGAACGTGGGGAATAATCAATATTTTCGAGCTCGACGGAGGTATCAGTAGCACAGTGGCCTTCGTTGGTGCCATTGGATGTACCCGAACGACGACTGGTCTGAGGTGGTGATGGAGAGTCAGGTGATACTATCGCTCGGCCATCTTCTAGGTCCGCCACATCTGGGTGTCGAATCACAGAGATGTGTTGCTCTCTGAGTTCATGTATGAAATAGAACATGTAGATAAATAGAACCACAAAGGATGAAGCTCTGCTCATTGTCAACATGGCTTCATTCGCGCCATCGCGCGCTTGAAACGTATGGCTGAAGGCGGCCTGGTGTTTATGAGTATGGTTCTCAATAAGATGGAAGGTAGCTGTCGCTCACTCACCGGTATCAGAAGAACAAAGACGGAAACAAATAGGAGGCAGCTCAGGAGTTGAGTCTCTGGAGTATCCAAGATCGGCTCATGTCCCGCTACTCCACAGACACATAGGGCGGTGCCAAGAATTGGCAGTAAGTTGACAAGCATTGAGCCAAGGATTGACGCTTGAACGACTTGGATCTGATTGTGTTTAAGGGCGATGCTACGGACATCAGTACAATTGAACGACTTGATGGGGTCGATAAATGGCGCGCTTACATGCTGGGAAATTGTCAGAATTGTGATTGTTTCGTCAATGAACTGTGTCCACATGCTAGAATAACTCACAATAAAATCAGCTCCACGAGGTTTCCCATTGTTATGTTGAGCAAAGCTCCAACCGTATCGCCTGCATCAGATGCAATCATCTCAGTAGCTCCAGTGAGCAAAGAGGACAGTGGAACAACCGCTAGTGCATTGGTGATGAATATGACCAGGGGAGCTTTATCAGACCAAAACGCCCAAACGCCGATGGGTACGAAGATTAGAAGACAATTGAGCCACAATGAAAACATTTTCTTTCGAATTGCTTTCTTGACCTGCGGTGACTGTGCAGGTTGTGGAAGAGTTCTATGTTCCAAGGGCGAAAGATCGCGTGAGATGAGACTAGCCTCAGAGCCGGCAGCTTCGGAAAAGGTCAGATGTCTGCTGCCTCCGGGCATCCGAGGGTACATGTACACCGCGTGCAAGGGCGTTTTTCCAACCAAGCATAAACATGAGACGAACTATATCCGCAATGATCACAATGAAGAAAGTATTATCATATGCTTACTTTCGGTCTCGAAATGAGGGGAGTGCAGCGACGCGAGCAGACTAGCACCTGAGTGGACGGGGTGTTGTAGCGGCCTCAAGATACAGCCCAGAGCGGTTGCTGCCTTTCAAAATTTTCCTCGTACATCTGAACATCATGTCCTTTCTAAAGCCAATTATTTGTGTGTTTGTTGTGTACAAAAAGCCATCGTATGAGGGATTTTGAGATGCGGCACATGGCCCGTGAGGGGCGTGTTTGATGAGAGCGATTTTTGACGGAGGCCTCCAGCTACGTATGCGAGCGACTACAGTCCAGCTCTTCCATATGCCTCCCCATATGGCTTACCAAGTTCAGTCTAGTGATATTCCCAGGCTCCGCGTGTCTAAACGACCCTAGAGATCTGCTCATCCATGCGGCGATGGATTCTTCTGCGGGATATCTTACAAGCTCGGTAAGATGAAGACAAGCTAGTAAGTTTCCAGCGGCCGGATCTCTCACAGTCGTGTACTAAGTACATAGACATCCCACGGCCATGAGAATGACAGTTCTCCTGGGCTTGTGATGTAAATCTACTTTTCATTTCATGTTATATCATGGTCCATTCCGCGTCAGCCCTTACGTACTTGGAGCACGGGAGAAACTGTGCGTCGTCCTCACCTTTTCAAGAAATCCCGCACCGGCACCGAACTCTTGCCCACAGATACGTGTAGGCTTTAAAAAGTTGAGTGAAGTAGCATTTTGTATTGACAGTGCTACGGAACAGGCCTGTTCTAATGGGGGAAATGTAAGCATCCCAGGATACCTTTGGCAGTGGTTGCCCACCATGAGGCGATAGGCCCCAAGTGCTAAACCAACAGCCATTGAATGAATCGATCGTGAGATGAAAATGAAGAGAAATTGGTATAAAAGAACAAACAACGAAAAGTCAGGGCCACAAATTCATAGAGTTGTCGAACACTCCGCCCCGTCTGCATCGCAAATACTCTCGGGGTGTTGTATCGAATATGTTGAATTTCTCCACACGCAGCCAAGGCCGAGACAGTACCGGGGGCTTTTGTACTCCTCAGCAGTTGCGCCAATTTAGTGTTCGATGCCCTTCAGAAGCTCTTCAAGGCTCCCAGATGTGACGACGGTCACCTTCTCACATAGCTCGGGAGGGCATACTTCCTCATAAGCCTTAGTAGTTTAAAGTCAGTGTCTTAGTTTCTTAATCCGGACTATTATTCGGCGCCTACAATCAGTCTCCCAGGCTTGTTGAGACAGTCTTCCTTCAATGGTACATGTCGGATCACAGAGGCGGCCAGCGTGGTAGGACCCCAGTTGAATACCGTCGGGGTCAAGGGCGCATTCTCGCGGAACTGATGAAGATTATCTAAATATTGCGGTAAGAATTTACAGCCGGTTCTTTCATGTAAACTAACAGAAGTAAATACCTTCAAAACGAGTGACGACGTCCAAAATAGTCGCGCCCCTTTGGCCGAACCCCACGCCAGTCACACCCCAGTGGGTGCCGTTCATTCGGTCGGCGATATTTGTGATTGGCTGGTCCGGGCCTTGGAACAAAACTGCGTTGAGTGGTTATCAGTGAGTGATCAGCACTTGGTGGTACGAAGGCACTGTACCGTAAACATTGAATCCTGCCTTGACAAGTGCGGCGGTGTCGTTCCGGAGTTCCCTGTCAACATCAACAGGGTCATAGTGCTGCGCAATCACGTATGGATGATAGGCAGGAAGTCCCCTGTGCGTTGTTAGTCGAACGCTCTACTTCTTGAAGGATCTAGGCGGTTCTCACGTATAGAAGACGTTCACTTCACCGCATCCAACGTTGGAAGGGTAGGTGATTTGGGGGAGTAGGAGCGGTCCCGAAGATGCAGTCGTGCTCCCCAGAAGCACGAAGGTGAAGATGGTCTCCAAAGAGTATCTCATGTTGAATCTCGATTGTGTGAGGGTGCTAACAGTAGCTTTCAAAGTTTGATGGTGATAAGTTGAAGTCAGACGGTGGAGTATAGTACCGAGGTGATGATGATCATAGCTCATCAAGCACCGATTTCAAGGATGCCGTCCACGCTTTTGTAGTCAAATGTCTTTACTTCAGCCGTTGACTATGTTAAACCATCGTCAACTGATGGCATGCCCCTTTCTCCCAGCCGATGAGTAATCGGCGCAGCTTGAACCGCGACGTCGCGAAATCATTGCACCAAAGTTGTCAGCCTTGTCAGGCAGACTTACAAGCCTGATACGTAATAAGTCGCCTGCATGTCCCGGAAGAGAAATTCAGGGTACCTTGTTCTTGTCAAAGAACCTCTACCCTGGTAGATTTGCAGGGTGGCGCACCCACGTCCTAGAGTTCTGTGTGACCTAAGCGCTTTGCAATATCTTTATGACACCATGCAGCCTGATTCAGCGTCGATCCAATCAGGTGTTGTGTTCAATTTTAATCAACTCATTCAAAGGATCGCAACATCTGAGCGAGTCAAGAGTCGGTAGCTAGAGCGATAGGGAGACCTAAGCAAAGTCATGGAACTACCCTCAACTCGGCAGTTGATGGCTGTGCTGGCCTATCTCTAGATATTCTCACAACGATCTTCAAGCGATTAAACGGCTGAATGGGTCTCCTAGTCAATAACCCATCCTGCTCATATTATTATAGGCACTTTTGAACCGTCGACGGCCCCGCAGGCCGCATCCTTCGGAGGTCATCAGGCAACACTGTGGGGCTCCCGAAACCTTACCGGGACCGAGTCGGGAACCTTTCATGACCGAATGCTACATACCCCGTTGCATCGTAAAACTTCAAGACACTCGCTGGTCGATGAAAGGTAACAGCTACGATAGACTATGTGGATTTGTAAGATTTTGTCAGAAATCTTTAATGAAAAGAAACGATCCTTAGAAATGAGACCACTTCACCATTTGTAATCGATCCAGCTCCGCGGAATTCGAGCGCAAGCATGAATGTGCTGTCTTGCTTGGATCCATCTAAGGGAAGAGAATGAAATTGATGGCCTTCACAAATCGAAGGTATAGATTCAAGCTATAGTCTGTTCTACGGGAAAGTAATCTGCATCTGCTCCCGCATTCGCGAACAACTACGCGCGTTCCTTCGCCATGCTTGTCCAATCTCTATTGTGGTCGATGGCCACAGCTACTACTTACCAGCGATATGGTCAACCTACACTGAATTTCGACTTTCCATCAAACCCAAAAGTCGAAAGATTCGTGGTTCACGTCCACGATTCCTTTCTGTATGATACCTTGCAGAAAGTACGATCCTATAGACCTACACATGGCCTGTCTTCAGACTGGGATATTGAAGGGCCTCCCGCTGGGAATCTGACCGGCGTTGCGGAGTACTGGGTCAACGAATACGATTGGAAGAACGTTGAGAAAAGGCTCAACGAGAATTTCGATCACTATGTAACGACTGTTCCGGGCGGCGAGAATTACCCATATCCTATACCGCTGCACTTTATCCATCATGTTTCCGCCAACGCCAGCGCCACACCACTGCTCCTCCTTCACGGATGGCCATCGACAAATCTAGAGTGGTCAAAGGTCATCAACCCTTTGTCAGGGAATTCCGAACAGCCATTTCACATCGTCGCACCGGATCTACCTGGCTTTGGATTCAGTCCAGAGCCAGAACACCCCGGGCTAGGATTGCGCGAAATGGGATTGGCCTTCGACACATTGATGCACCAGCTCGGTTACGAAAAGTATGGAATAGTCACTACGGACCTCGGATGGGTCACTGGAATGTGGATGACCATCGACGTCCGTGATAGCATCCTTGGCCAGATGTGTGACTTCTTTATCGCTGAGCCAACCACTGAAGACCGGGCTCGACTGGAGCAGAATCAGACCACCGGCGAGGAAACACTTTACATGAAATCTATCGACAAATGGTTTAGCTCACATTGGGCATATTCCGTAGTTCATAGCCAGAAGCCTCTGACGATATCCCAAGCTCTGGCTGATAGTCCGGTTGGTCTGCTTGGTTGGTTCTGGGATGTCAACTACGCCACTTCCAACGGCTACCCTTACACCGAGGAAGAGCTCATCACGGATGCGATGATGATGTATATACCGGGGCCATACGCAGGCATTCGAGCTTACTTGGGATTCCAGGTGTGTCATCCCATTCCGAGTGTGATTCTTGCAAGCGTCGTAATTATTGACACCTATGCCAGTCGCATTTTCCCCACACAGACGTGCCCACGGGGGTCTCTCAGTGGAGTATGGGCGATGGCCCGTTCCCTGACGTTGGAAACTTTGGTTTCGCAGTAAGTCACTATGAATTGTGGGACACGTGTGTCCAGAAATCAAAACTGACTTTCGACAGCCAAGAGATTGGATTGAAAGATCCGTGAACTTGGTGTATTTCCAGAGACATCAAGTTGGCGGGCATTTCCCAGCTGTCAGTCAACCCGATCTATGGATGGGTGACGTGAGGGCTTTCTTTTCCGCCCTACGCATGTCGTCTTCTGTAGAAAAAGATGAGCTGTAGACTGTTGTCAGAGAGGCCGTATAGAAACCACGACGATGAGACTCACTGAATGTCTGTATGTAAATTCAATGCACATATTGAACGCGGTCCAAAACCTCTCCCATGAAACACAAGCCTCGCGAAGCTACCAAGTCCTTGTTTTATCGCACAGTCTAGACCGAAGTCTTTGGCATCATACCCTATTATTAGCCTTCAACGGTTCATCTATTCACCTGTAAAATGGTCCCGCTGCATGCCTGAAGCGCTGTTAGCGTGTCCACGTATCATGCCACAACGCCACCGATGTGCAGCACCAGCCACGGCCTGTCTCTCCACGACTGGTGCTCGGGAGGATCCTGCAATATCCAAGACAACTGTCATTGATCCAGACATTGAAGCAAGTTCTCCCTGGAACTGGGGTCGACAAGCGGTGTGTCAGCGGCTGAGTGCAGAACCCCGCGCGGGCAGGGATACAGGCCCAATGATAGAGCTCAAGGGCAAACTATGCCAAGCAAGCTTGTATGACATCCAGCGATCTCCGCAGTCTAACAAGTGACGTCAACCCACTTTCCATGTTCACTGCCAAGGAACACGAATAACAAGCCACCGCGTAGTCTGGGCATCAAATGCGCTCACCCATCAGTTTCCCTTTTGATGTTGGGCTTCAGCTGGAGTGTTCTTGACATTCCCCTGATTGATCCACCCTCTAAACGGGCTGACCCACTCTCGCAGTAACTCATTGATATATCATCATTGTTCCTCAAGGCCTCTCGTCTTTCACCGACGAGTACCGCTTCACTCTCCTCTGCATTGTTCACTGTTCTGAATTCAGCATCCTTATTCAATATGGCAGGAATCGTAGACAAGTTGACCGCCTCTGGAGGCACCGAATCAGCAGGTAGGGCATAACGAACCCATTTCCGGACTACAGTATTTGTTTATTGTGTCTAACATCCCGTTAGGATTCCTCAACGATATCATCGCGCAGCTATGGCCAAACATCAATGTTGCCGGCTGCAGGATGGTGAAGGAGATCGTTGAACCCATGTTCGCTACGATGCTTCCTGGCCCCCTCGCGAGCCTCAAGTTCGTCAAGCTGGACCTCGGAACTGTTCCCATGCAGGTATCAGAAGTGGACGTTCACAAGGTTGACAACGGCGGTATCAAGCTTGACATGGACGTGATCTGGGAAGGAAAGAGCGACATCGAGCTCGATGGCAAGATGGTGCCCAAGCTGGTAAGACCCTGGAACGAAGACTACCCCTTGACTCGCGTAAGCTAAAGCAGACGACGACAGGGTATCGAGCATGTTCGTCTGAAAGGCAGACTTTCAATCCTGCTTGCACCTCTAACAAATATTATCCCCTTGGTATGTCACTTGACCTTGAATTCTTAGATAAATGATGCTGGTTTGAGTGCTGACGTGAAAATAAAGATTGGAGCTGCGCAAGTCGCTTTCATCAACCCACCAGAACTCAAACTCGACTTTACCAATGCTGCAAACATCGCAGACTGGGCTTTGGTTGACAAGGCCGTGCGCAAGGTCATTCTGGACATCATCGCCTCAATGGCTGTGCTCCCCAACCGTTACCTTGTGAAGCTCGACAGCAACAACGACTACTTCAGAACATACCTGCCTCACCTGGGTGCCCTTCGCCTTACTATTGAGAGGGCAATTGGCATCAGCGGGCCAAAGAAGAGCGGTGCCAAGAGGCTTTTGGCAAAAATCGTCAAGGATATCCCCGACTGTTACGCCAAGGTGAACGTTGGTGCTGAGGAGGAGTGGCGCACCTCTGTTAAGAAGAATGACCACGACCCGGAGTGGAACGAGACCCACGACTTCCTCGTCGCTGACTACGACCAACGCATCTTTATTGATGTCCAGGACGATGACCTCGGTGGCGACGATGATATTGGTATTGCGACTACTACGGTCAAGGACATTTTGCTCAACGGTGGCTCCCAAGAGTTGGCTCTTACCCACAAGGACGAGCCCACCGATGCCAAGATCGTCGTCCATGCAAAGTTCTACAACTTTGTGGACAACGCTGAAGTCATCACATCCACTCAAAGTGAGAATGAGCACCAAATCGTCGGTCTCGCGACGGTCCTCATCGCCAGCGCCCTCGGATTGCAAGGTCAGCGCGACGAACTTAACCCCAGTATCAAGGTGACGTGGGGCGCAAAGGAGTTCCGCACTGCGGCCAAGACCTACAGCCCGGGAACAGATATCTTCAACCCATCTTTTGACCAGGCGTTCAGGATCCCTGTCACGGCGGATTTGCTCGCCAACCCCGCCAGCTTCAAGATCTCTCTGCTCAACAAGGCTGACGAGACTGGTGCTGTTGAGATTCCTTTCCAGGATATTCTTCAGGCGCCTGGTTTGGTCAAGGAGGAGAGCTTCGACGTTGGATCTGGTGCGACTGTGAGAGCAAGTATCTCTCTGCGCGGCTTGCAGGTTGCGCATTGATGAGCTCATGATTTGACGAATACGTTCATGTATAACTACACGATAATACACGATTCAATGATATTACTCAAAACGAGACGTAGCTTATGATGAGAGAGTATCTATTTACGTGAGTTTAAGTGTCTGTAGCTCTATGGTTCCCTGCAAGAGCTCGCCATCCATTATGCCATGAACGTACGCCTCGCCAACAATTCGGGAATATCTGGTCCGAGTAAATGAACGGGTCGAAGTGATGAACGGTGCGTCTGCGCCAATGATTATCCACACATCATCGCCTACTTTTGCTGCCATTGGCGCAAGTCCGACGTATCCTCCGTCGGTGACGAAAGGGCATCTCCCAATGAGTTTGGCAAGGGCAACATTCATGTACTTCATGCCCTCGTAATGCATTCCTTGTCGCAAAGCTTGGTATGACATGAACATTTCACCAGATGCCCTTTCCGTCTCCCAGTTGAATGCAAACTCTCGATCAGCGATTGGTGTTCTCCATAACGCCTCTCTCAGTGCTTCATCAGTCTTGTAGACTGCATTAGTTCCGGCCAATGTGGATTCCATATCATCGAGCCATCTGAGAAATAGTGAACGTTGAAGCCCATCTGCCTCACCATTCAACTCCTTCAATCTTACGAAATGCTCTCCTCGCTTGGCGATCGTGCCAACTTTCACAGCCTTCAACGATAGCGAGCTCGCAATGAATCGATTTTCGTCCGAAAACGCTGCTGAGAGAGACTGAGAGAGTGATCCGGAGGCCGTGTAGGCTCTTTCTCTGTTTTGGCCTCGCACCATAAAAATGGATGGGACGTGTAGGGGCTGCGCCAGGAACTTCGAGGACCAGTCGGGTGCCCATGACGGTTCGCTTGAATATACCATACCCGCGGCATAGCTGTGTACCCCACCTAGCCCTGCAAATGATAGGATTTTCGGGCCGTAGTAAATCAGACAGGCTTTGGCTACCTCTGTCCGAACCGTTTGCCAATCCTTGTTGTACTGGACTGGAATGTATGGGCTGAGATCCGGGCTAATCAGGCCAAACAGCGAGAAGACATAGTCTCGTTGATCGGAGGCCTGGAGTTGAGCTTTATTTGCCATTCTTGAGAGTAAAGAGAAAAGAGTGAAGAGTGAAGAGTTTGGACGAGTGAAGGCCACGGGAGTAACCCTATCGAGAGCCGCCGTAAGAAAAGCCACCAGCTTAGAGCTGTCTCGTCTCCCCGTGCCCGAGCCGACGATATTCAAGTAGTCGCGCACACCGCAGAGCACCCAGAATCCGTCATAAAATGCATCCCAAGAGGTACAAGTATCACCGCAGCAGACCACACAGTCTTTTGACAGCACGCGCTCTTGAATCACCCAGACGCGTTGGAACCACGCTCGCTCGAACAAAGATCCGATAGCGTTCAATCTTGCTGACTTGTTGTGACAAAGCTCTCCGATTATCCCTCTGAGCATGGTCTGGACTCTATCGACAGTCAGATTGACGGCGATCTCGGCGAAGGGAAATTCGGACCATGACAACATGACAGCAAAGGCCCCCGAGTCCACCAATTTGTTTAATTCGAAAAGAGTGTCCATTGCAAGATCACTGTCCAAGCTTGCCAAGCCGAGCCAAATGAAGGTTTTGGTAGCGTAGCGGTAGATTTCTCTCATACAAGACACTTGCTGGGCTCTCTCTGCTTCGTTTTGCTGGTCAATACACAAGGCATCGATCCAAAAGGTTGATCCGAGGTCCTCGCCAACTCGTCGAGAAGCCAATTGCCTCAGAGCGGCTTCTAAGTTTGTGGTAACCTGAACCCACTGGTCATCCACGAGGATGTCCTTCGTGATGTCGGCATCCCCCCATGCGTATGAAACCGCCACGTAGGATTGCCCCTCGTTAAGGCTGGCGTGCTTCAGGCGACAGCGAACGGGTAAGTCCGCCGGAGACCCCGGGTCTTCCGTCTCCAGAGGTGCTATTTCGATGAGGCGGACTTCCTTTTTTTCTGGATCTAGAGATTGATATTGGAAGGGCCGCAAGCTGCTAGTCATCTGGTGTTCGGTCATTGGCCGCGATGAAGGGAGACAGTAGCGGAATGGGTGATGTGTCGTTGAGTGAAGTACTCCGGCGTGCAGTCATCAACTGCCTTTCGATCGCACTTGCTTTCTCCGATTGTGACTTGAAAAGGGCAGGCAATACCCCTAACGGTCGCTCTTCTGTGGCTCTTCAACGGATTGGGTCTGCTCGTCGCAGCGGCAGAATTTCCCGCGGTTTACTGTGCCCCTCTCTCACAAGGCAACTCTGCTGACATGTTGCACATGGTCCTGTTGATCCGACCAATCATGGGACGCTGCGATAACCAGTTGTCTCGTCGTGCGGGTATGATTGGTTGTGTTCTCCAAGCATTGCGATGACCATTTCACTCTCCATATCCCAAACCCTCGAAATACGATAGCTCCTATTTCTTCCAGGTCTAAATCGGGGGTGCAGACACGAAATGATCGCTTTCCTCTCAGTGTAGCATCGTGTTTTCTCGAAACAGATGGGGGATAGCTCTTGGCTATTTAAGGCCAACCTTGG